GGCTAGACTCCACCCCTCTTGCTCAAGTTGACAGGAGATGATGTCATTGCCAAAACCCACCCTACAATGATGTGCCCTCAATAACAGAGGACAAAACCGCTTCCAAACAGATGCTAGACCAGCGGTTTGGGTCACAGCACCAACGATGGGCGGCAGGGTCCAATTCACCACACATTCAGGGGACAGAGCTATCAGACACTTGTCCCTCGAATATGTGTTGCATCGTGACATGGAGATTGGGTGCTTTCTTTGTTACTACAGCTTCCCCGTGCTAGGCCGGGTAGTCTAGAGAAACACATCCAGGGACACTCACCTATGGCTAAGAAAGAACTTTATATCAAGAAGTACTCTTATTTCAAGAAGACATCTGTTAGCCGGGTTGACTAGAGAAACAAATCCAGGGACACTCATATATGCATAAGTAAGAGCTTTTATATCAAAGAGTAATTATATATTAAGAAAACAGCCCAGCCCAGTCCAGATCAAGTCCCTAAGTCTAATACTACTCCAAGAATCCCTCTTCAGACTCACGCAGCCACATGCAATGAAGATCACAGGCCTGGGTGAAAAGTCTTGTGGATCCATTGGTGGTGGACGCAGCTCCAGGGCTCTGGCTGCCACCAGCGTGGCTCGTCAACGGGAAGGTGAAGCAGAGAGGGAGAGTGTGTCCCACCTTCAGGGAGAAGAAAGAGGAAGTTCCCAGGATCCTCATGAGAAGGCCATGCCCACAGGAAGGCATCATCAGCCGGGGTTTGTACCACGGAGGCTCAAGAAGCCCCAGGGGTGCTTGTCCGTGGCTCCCACGTCCAGGCCGCCGCCACTCTGCCTGCCCTCAGGGGACCACGCTGGATGTGGTCCACAGGATGCTATAAGCTGCTGATGCCCGGGCCTGGGGGCTCACCGCTGAGCTAGAGTGACTGGACCCCATCCTGGGCTGGAGAGCCACCTGGAGGGGGCCCACCCTGCCCCCGTAGCCCTACACAGACCACCTGCCCTGTTGTACTCCCCTCGCCTGCTGTCTACAGGTGGTTCTCACTTCACAGTGACCCCCTGTGACGACCCTGCGTTGAGCAAGCCTGTGGGCGCCATTTTCAAAGCAGCTCACGCTCACTTTGGTCTCTGTTCCCCTTTTGGTCCATCTCAGGATCGCTGGAACTGCCTCCCCTGCTGGTCTGCAGTGAGTACATCCTAGTGTCCTGGAGGACTCTGGGGAGCTCCTGGTTACACGCTGGGCCGCTAACTGCAAGGTCAGCAGTTCACACCCAGCAGCCCCTCCTAGGGAAAAAGACAGGGCTCTCCACTCCCATAAATAGTCTCGGAAAGCTGCAGGGGCAGGCAGCTCTCTGCAAGGTCACTGGGGGCAAAGCTGGGATCTTCACAGGAGCAGCCGGCCTCGTCTTTCTCCCTTGGAGCGGCTGCAGGCTCGGGCACTGACCTCTGAGCCGGCGGCCATTGTGGGGCACGAGCCCCCACAGTCGAATGGGTCCAGGGGATGGTTGTGTCATTGAGCGGGAAAGTTAAAGAGACATCAGAGAAGATAAAGCATGCAATTGCTCACCTCCGGGGTGGACAGTATCTCAGCAGCCAGGTTGTACCATAGGCACATGTGCAGCAGGGGGGCGGGGGAGGGGACGAGTGAGGGTGCACACACGGTAGGAAGGGGAGGCACTAGGGGCACGCATATGACAAGATGGGCAGACTCTAGAGTCAAGGCGGCAGCTTAATCTTGGTCCTTCCTGTGTTGGCTTGACCTTAGTCTTTGGGCTCTCATTCTTGACCCTTACCAGAGGTGACTGGGTCCCACTCAGGGTGGGACAGACAGACATTAGGGTCTGCTTGCTCCAGATGGCTGATAACCTTCAGTGCCCTAGATTTGGCAGATATTATGGGGGACAACTTGGGAAGAGCTTTTCTCTCTCCCACAAGCAGTTGCTCTAACCTCGGTGTCCCCAGGACTCCTTTCCCAGGTGGGAAGGTAAATGGAACCAGCCTTAAGGAGAGCTTTGCTGGCTCTGCAGGGGGCGTGCAGGCAGGTGGCAGGCGTGCTCCTGAGTCACAGCAGGCATGCGATCTGGGGGCCGGAGGCCAGGATGGGTGAAATAGTTAAGATTTATTATGCCAACCTGGCCAATAAACACATGTGGGGTTAATTGAAGGGCAGAGGGATAAATGGCTCGGTGAGCCTTGCCTTTCTGGTTCTCGGGTCTCTTGCTTTCTGATGGTCGGACCAGGGTGCAGCTGCCTTAGCCTCTGGTCACCACCAGAGAAGCACATGAGCCTGTGCGAACACGAGGTGTTGAAGGGACCAGGTAGCAGATATCAAAGAACAAAAACCATCATTGTGTGACCACCTTCCCCACACAAACACTGAAGACGAATGTGTGCATAAGTTAGTGTGGTGAAGAAGGCTGATGGTGCCCGGCTATCGAGACCTATAG